CTCCCGGTCCTTGCTGCTGCCCCTGTCCCTGCCCAGGGATGTTCCCTGCCCCTACCTGGGGATGAAGGGGGCTATGTATGGAGCTGGGACCATGTACCCTGCATGGAGCTGAGCTCTGGACTGTGCTGGGGCTGTGCACCCTGCACAGTGCCCCGTGCTGGGACTGTGCCCAGTGCCAGGGCCATCCCCAGTGCACAGTGGTTGCCCTCCAGACTCATGCCCAGCCTGCAGCAGGTCCCACCACAGCCTCACCCTGCCCTGCTGGGGCCTGAGACCATCCCAGAGCTTCCTGGCTTGGAAACCTCTCCAAAATCCCCTGCAAAGTGTCCTTGGGAGCAGCAGCAAAGCCTGGGCAAGGGAGGGGTTTGCTCTTACCCCAGCACTGCAGTGGGGTTTGGTGCCCCAGTGGGTTCAGAGGTACCAGTTCACCTCCTAATCTCCTTTCCAGGCTGCTGAACAACGAGGGCTCCTTGCTTGCCTACTCAGGCTATGGGGACACCGATGCCAGGGTCACTGCAGCTATTGCCAGCAATATCTGGGTGGCCTACGACAAGAACGGGCACCAGGCCTTCAACGAGGACAACCTCAAGTTCATCCTCATGGACTGCATGGTATGTGGGGCTGGGGGCTGCCCCCTCCCTCCCTGGGCTCACCTGGCACCCCCAGGGTGGGCCCTGCCAGGCCAGGGGTGAGTGGTGCTGTTTGTCCTGGGCAGGAGGGACGAGTGGCCATCACTAGGGTAGCCAACCTGCTGCTCTGCATGTATGCCAAGGAGACTGTTGGATTTGGGATGCTGAAGGCTAAGGTAATGCTGCTGGTGGGGAAGGGGGGCAAGGTGGGCACAGGGTTGAGTCCCTCTGTGGGGTGGGAAAGCTGTGGAGGAGGATGGGCATCAGAATAGCATGGGATTATTGCTATCCTAAGGGGTTGGAATGGATCTGGGTTTGGTCCATCCTTTCATCCTTTCATCCTTCCACCTGGAATTTCGTGCTGGCACTGTCAGGGTGGTTGACTCAGGTCTCAGTGTGGTCATGGGCAAGTTGCTTAAATCCTTATGTTGACTGAGAGCCCAAAACAGACTCACCAGGGCCTGGCACAGGAGGCTGGAGAAGCCATAGAGGAGTCACAGCTGGAGCTCTGTGGGTTCAGCATAGTGTGTGAAAGGATTGGGATGGAAATTAGAGATTATCCAGTGCCAACCTCCTGCCCTGGGCAGGGACAGATCCCACCAGAGCAGGTTGGGCAAGGCTTGAGACAACCTGGAGTGAACAGTGACAGGGTTGGGGTGTCCAAAACCTCCTTGGGGCATTCACAGCCTCCTTGGGGCATTCACAGCCTCCTTGGGGCATCCAGAACCTCCTTGGGGCAACCACAACCTCCTTGG